GAAAATTTGTTATCATGACAGGCCTATGCACACAAGACTGTTGGAGTCAGCCTCCCCACCATCACAGACATCTACACCTCCAGATGCAGGAAGAGGGCCACCTGCATCATGAAGGACCCCACTCACCCAGCACACACACTTTTTGCCCCGCTCCCCTCAGAAAGGAGGTTTAGGACCGTTAAGTGTAGAGCCACTAGACTGAGGAACAGCTTCTACCCTGAGGCTGTTAGACTCATGAATATCTAACCAGGATAATCACTGTGAAAAAAAATCACATCATGTTGCTGCTGATCTGTTTCATGTTGCTGCTGATCTGTTTCATGTTGCTGTGTTCATTCATACTCATCTGCTCACACAGACTCATGTTCATGCTGCTGTTAGGTGTAATGTTTTTATGCTACTAGTGCTTAGTGTATTTTTATCAACATTTTTCTTAGTTCATATCTTAGATCTTATTACTGTTTTTCTTTTATATTTTAATACTTTTGTTAGATGTAACTGGGACCCTGTATACACAATTTTGTTCCACCACATGTACTACATGTGGCCTGAATGACAAATAAAGAACCTTGAATCCTTGAATACATAAAATTATTTTCAATATTTCACCAAAATAGCTATAACTGTTATTACCAAGTGAAATGATAGTTTAAAACTGTAGGTAATACACAAGGAATGCTTGGCCTTCAATTGTTTTTGTTTCTTGTTGCTTCAGATGCAGAAACACCTGCAGCCGCACACGCCGTCAGCAGCTTAATACGCACAAATTTGCACTGCTTAAACTGACGGTCTCATCAGATTACAACAAGGACGAAATGTTCATACATAAACATACACGCAGGCTCCCTCATATTCATGAGGACCCCCGGCAGCCTTTTGTTTTACTTTTCTCCTCTGCTGTTGTTCGCCTGAGTCAAACAAACCCCCCTTCCTCTCATTGTTCAAATATTGACCACGATCGCTCGCCACACTCTGACAACTTTAATATACCTCAGCTGTCTCCTCCTTTCCCCATTTCCATCTCCACTCTCTTCCGCCTTGTGTTCTGCCACACCAAGGCTACATCTTGTTAAAAAGAGTTGGTGAAGCTGAAAGGCCAATCACATTAACACGGACCGGGTGTCAAAAAAAACCCTCAATGTTTTTGGAAGGGTCAAATCAAAAGGAAATGGCTCAGATTTTAATTGCAAGTGTCTAATTGCTTCTATAATTATGAGTAATAAGACTCGTCCCCCTGCGCTAATTTCAAATGGATCATGTAGCAATTACTCACCACTGGATTTGACAGCAAGAAATATCACCCTAGATTAGAGACTAATCCTGCTGCCCAGGATCTCAAAAGGCTTTGAAGATGTGCAGCTGAACGTCTGTGTCCAGCGGCGTAGAAGGCCCCTGCCTTATAGATTTGATGGGCTGCAGCCATTTTATACTAGAGAGCTCCAATCAGCTACGGTTGAGAAGCGTGGCTTTATCCGGCAGCTTGAACTCCTGGATGATTAGATGCTCAGATGCAGTGAGTGGGGTTAGCAATTTGGCCGGCACATGGATGTTACTGTTCCAGCTTTCTCCTGCTGATAAATATCATGGGAACTTGGAGGAGCCAACCTTGAGTGTTGCTTTCATGAGATGCCAGCTTTGTGCCACATTTAAAGAGCGCCATTACCAACCACCATTACCCGCTGCCAAAAAGTGGACAATAATGTGTGTATGTGTGGGTTTGTCTATGTCTATTAACAAAATATCTCATGAAACATTGAATGGGTTTTAATAAAACTCAAAGTAATTACTGGGTGTACAGCTACAACCAGTTAACTTTAGAAGTCAACAATACTCTGGATTTCAATCATGGCTCATAAACTTAAGCAAAAATGGCTATAATCTGGTCATCTTTGCAGATGTTGAGATACATTTTGGTCTGTTAGTAGTTTCCTTAGATAGAGAGCTTTAGTAATTGGTGAATATTTCTGTAAAGTGTCCTGAGACAACTTTGTTGTGAATTGGCATTATATAAATAAACTGAATCAAAATTGAATTGAGTCATCTAAACACAAACCACAATCACTAACAGGTTGAACATTGTTTTCTTGAGGTGGCAAAAATAAGAGCTAAGTTCCGTCTGGCTAGGATTTGTCATACTCCATAAGTGTTGAACTCCTGGGAAGTCCTTGTAGCAGGAACATCAGCATTACTGCTCTTTCACTTTAACCAACTCTACTTGGGATTTATAGCCAATAACACAATAATTGTCAAACCCCACAGGGAAAAAAGCTCTGTGCTATCAAGCCGCAAGATCTTTCAAACAGGGCTGGGAGGGAAAAAAATAGTTTTCTCTCAATCGTAAGAGGGAAAAATATTTTTCCGCTTGTTGCGGAGTACATAACAGCTTTCAATTGTCATTAAGTGTTGGAGTCACCCCATCTGTCTATTAGCAATGTAACTCATGATCCACTCTCCGGCTCCTCCTGGAGGGATCCCAAAGCATTCCCAGGCCAGAAAGGGATACATAATCTCTACTATGAGTTCTGGGTCTGCCCTGGGGTCTCCTCCCAGTGGGATTTGCCTGGACAACCTTCAGAGGGAAGTGTCCAGGAATCAGACGCCTGAAGCACTTCATCTGACTCTGTTTTGTGTGGAGGAGCAGTGATTCTACTCAGAATCACTCCATCATCTCCATCATCAGCTCCAAGATGATGCAGATGATGGAGCTCCTTTTATCTCATCAAGGCTAAGCTTTGCCACCCTGCATAGGAAGTTCATTTCAGCTGCTTGCATATCTTATGATTATAAGTGAGGGTTGGTTTTGTAGACAGAATAGTAAATCGAGAGCTTGTCTTTTGGCTCAGCTCCTTCTTTATCACGACAGACCGAAGCAATGCCCTCATTACTGAGACCCTGATCAGTCGATCCATCCTACCATCACTCTTGCACAAGACTCCCACATACTTGAACTTCACAACTTGAGGCAGAAACTCCTGGAAAGAGCATTAGACCTTTTTTCCAGTCAAGAACCATGACCTCAGACTTAGACGCTACTTCACACTCTGCCACAAACCAACCCAATGCATGATAAAAGTCATTACCACGGACCTGCTCTCAGAAAGTAATTTTCAGATGTACATCTACAACTGATTAACTTTTTAGTTACACCAATGCAAGATGGTCAGTCATGCGTAACTTTATTTTCAAGATTTGACCAAAAAACGTTATAATTTTGTCAATTCTCAAAATAAGATGATCTTAGTTTAAGACTCTGGCCTGAAAGCCAGTAGACAATTTCCATTCCTTTAAGGCATGCTATGGGTTTAATTTAGTCCAAAACATTACTGCCGGTAAATAATGTAAGGCCAGTATATCACTCCCTCATCTCAGAGGCAGTGAAACAGCTTAATAAATTATGATCATCTCTCTCTTTTGCATACTAACTGCTTGTTGTTTCAAGTAGGTCACATCTTTTGTTCTTCGTCTTATTTGCCTCTCTTTAGGATTTAACATATTTTTGTTTGAGCCTCGTTATTGTGTCAGAACAGGAAAGCCTCCTCCACCCTGTCTTTAGCACAGTCCCTCTCACTTTTTGCACAGTGCCTTACTGTCCGTGCTTAAGCACATTATAGAGGCGTCAGGCATTATCTCCTTCTGGACAGGAAGGCCCTTTCTGTGGCTTTGTGTGCCATGAAAAGCTGTCTGAGTCAGAAGGCAAGATCATTATCTGATGGGGACTGAACAGAAGGGAAGGAGCAGGAGCTGAACATATGAGGCAGAGCCCGAGGGTTTGCTTTGACTCATACCCGACATCTCAGCCTTTATATTAATCCATATTTAATTAGACTTTCCTGTAGTGCCTCCTCGCTGCTTGTTTACCTTTCCTGTGTTGTTTTATGGGAGTCAAAGTGAAAGAGTAGAAGGCATCCCCATTGGATTTATGTTAATTAGTGTAAAAGGAGGGAAGGTAAAGCCTAGTGAGGACTCCAGGGACATAGTTTCATTTCTCTTGTATGCTCTTGTAATCGAGATAGCACCCGTGAGCCGAAACAATAACCCACCACGTTATTCCAGCACATCACTTGTGTAACGTGTCAAAAAACAATGGCTTTGTTGTTATTATCAGGCTCGTGGATGCAAAGAGATGCGAGTGAGTAATGAGGAGCATTTTAGACGCTGATGATGGAGTGATGGAGTGATGCAGATCGAGTGGCTGATTTGCATTCATCAGGTCCTTTTGTTGTTTTTTTTCATTGAAACCCGTAGTGAAGATGATGTTCAGAGAGCTTACCGCTCCGTTAACTTCAAATAAAAGTCATCCCCAGCCTGTCATTGACGAATGTCTCAGGTTGACTGACTTTTCATCAGATCCATTATTAGAATGTGCTCCGCTCTGTGTGTGTGCTCTGTTGTTGAGCAATAAAGCTTCACAACTCCATTAAACTGTGTGTAAAACCCCGTTTTTTTCCCACCCCACCCTCATTTCTAAAATGAACGCTTCAATCAGTGTGTTGCCGTTGGGAAGGATGGCAGGTGAAGGTCAGTTTAAATTTCAGCTGTATTAATTAGATTCTTTATTAGGCTTTGCCACTGAATTCATCTCCAAAGAGGAATGCTGCAAAGGAGCAGCGCTGGCCGGGTGTTGACTTAATGTCACCCATCCATTTTGCTCTCACTCCAGACGGCCTTGCAGGAGCCAGAAAATGGGAGCTCGTTCATCACTGGGTTCCTCTGGCTCTGGGCTCCAACATGCATTTAGTCATAGCTCTCGTGACAGACACTTGTTGGAAAAACAGTGGGCCTCACGCGCACGAGCGCGCACTCGACTGCTGAACCGTTTGTTTGTGTGCGTTGTCAAAACGTCTGAAGCTTTGATTGACTGACAGCAGCCCAGGCATCTGTATTCTGACAGCGCAATGTGACACCAGTAATATTCAGCTGAATGATTTGTGAGCTCATACATTTTAAAGCAACCTGTCACCACCTTTTTTCACTTTTTGTTGGTTTTTTTCCAAATGCAGAGGGGAATCCCTATCGGACAGTTCTGCAAGGACTTCAATGAGCTAACCAAAGAGATAAAGGAGGGGATCCCTATCCCGGTCAAGATCCATGTGAAGGTGCGTCTCTTTAACCCATCCCTCACCTTTCCACTTAACACCATCCCTCACACGAGCGACGTTAATTCCACAAGCTGCAAAACATCTCCACAGCACTTCCATTATTCATACTCCACCGCTGAAGAAAGCCTTTCCATTTGCATTCATTAAGGAAGCAATACCCAGAGGAATTTGGAGTCAAGAGGCATTAAACACATGCAGGAGATGTGACTTACTCAGAAAATGAGTGTCGTAATTTTGTGCGTTTTATTCTCCACTCAGACACATATTGTTTTTTGCGTTTTTGTACTTTTAGTACCACCCTCCTGCCTTTTTGTGTTGTTTTAAATCAGAAGCTGTGTCCTCCCAGCTGGCTGAATGTGTGCTATAATGAGATTTGGGATGTAAAAAGGGGAGGCCTAATCCTTTAAAAGGCATGAATTTACTCTGACATGCAATATCCAGCAACTACTCTGCCACCACAGCTGCAGCTATCCATCAGTGCCATCTACTGGTGGCTTTTAATGGGATTAAATATGATGGTGCATCATGTTTACAGCTGTTTTCATCTCTCTTCAAAACAGTTCATCGTGGAGAAGATTGATAGCGCTGATATATTCAGGTGCAGCAGCTTTAGCATTAAGACCAGAGAGGGGGGAAGGGTCGTCTTGGCTCTGTCCGCCGGTATAAAAACATGGACATTTGGTGATTTCACTGTAAAAACGGTGGGTTTGTGCATCTCATTTGTATGCTGTGCATTACAGCATTTCATTTGGCAATGTTAGATCTCTGTGACACAACATAGAAAGCAGAAACGATTTTTAAATTTACTGCAAGCGCCAACTGAGTAAACGGCACGCAGCCGCCTCTCAGTCTGGAGACACGGAGGTTCCTGCACCTGTTTGACAGGATTCTTCTGCAGTCTTGAGATGCAGAGGAGCTGTTTTCATTCTTTCTGTGTTGGTGTTGAGCTGTAAAGCTGATTGAGATACAGCAGAGTGGGCCATTTATCAGGCTCCACAGCCAGGAGACAGCTGAATGCATGTCAGAAACAAAGACGCACACACTCAACAAATAAATATCAGCTCTAGCAACAAAGGCGAGTGCTGCCCTGACAAGAAATAACTACTGCATCTTTGACTTTGTTCACTAAAGGAAGCTTTTGTAGAGCATAGGAGAAAGAATTGATGCTGTTATGGAGCTCAAAAACTGAAATGACAACGGACTGACTTTTCTTACCTCCATGTTTTTCCACCCTAACGTACAACATCTGGTTGTTTGGTTTCCCAAACCTCTTTTCCGACTAACGTTTGTCACATTTATTTATTCTGTACACTAACAGACCTGAAGTACAAGCCTCTTTCAGGTTCTATTTTACAACGAGTGTATTATAGAAACTTTGAGCTTTTGTTCAGAATCAGAAGAATCAGAATCAGCTTTATTGTCAGTGCATTAAGTAGTACAGTGAAATTACGTTTTGTACAGCCGTCCTAATGATGGACGAAGGTGTACAGGGGCTGCAGCTTCTGAGAAGTGCTGCCCTCATTGCTTAGGTAGAAAAAGGGAAGACAACATAAGGAGAGAAAGGTATAAAAAAAAATAGATCTCTCACACCGTGTCCTTGACAGGGCACGGTTTAAGGTATCAAAAAAATCTACCGCAGCAAGCAACATATATGCATGGACGACGAGACGGTGAGTTTTGTCCCTGAACACTTCCATATAGTTTCCATAGTCCTGATAAGATGTTACAGTGTCTGTCAGTCAGGACAGCTCTGATAAGCGTTCGTGGACAGAGCAAAGCTTCTTTATTTACATATCCATCAAGAGCAATTTGAGATAAGTTGGCCTTCCAAGTCCAATCGGAGAGGCCAGATTCAGACTCTGGTTCCTGTCTGCCTTCAGTTCTGCTGGAACTCTCGATGGTGGATCCAAACAGCCAGTGGACGTTCCACCGGTCTGTGCTTTGGCTTTTCTCCAGGGTCGAATCCATCATGCTGGCGAGTTCCAGGGCGCTTGCACAGCATATGAGTCTGAGAGCTCGAAGCCCGAATTAATCCATCACATGAGGTTGGCAGCTTTACCATGGCCGAAGCTGCTCCCGACGTCTTCCTAATTTGTCGATATCCTAGGTATCCACAGATTCCAAAAAGCAGAAACCTTGTTATCATAAATCCAGTTTGTACACGTCTTATCTAGCTACATGCATCCATCCAGGCATGAGGGCTCTCCAGCACCCTGTCTCTTGAAAAAAAGTTGTATCAATTGTGTTGAGAGACCAGCTGACCAGATCCATAATAATAATTTGCGATTGGGAAGACGTGTAAAGAGAATCTCTGATACACAGGACAAAGAGGGAGGAAGGCAGGAGAGGGAAGTAAAATGTTTGTCTTGTTCGAGGGCAAGTGAGAAAATAAATAAGTTCAGGCATGAACATGAATTGTTCAGACAATCCATAAAATGCTTTTTTATTCTCTTCTGATAACCCTTGGTACAAGCCCTGAACGAAGTTAGGTACTGAAACAACGACGCAGCGATGAGTTTTACACAAATAGAAGTTAAAAAGATGTCTTCTGTCAGAGATTCAGTCACATTTAGACACAGCCAGGCAGCTCTTTCTGTTTGTTTACAGTCTTTAAACGCCACACCGAGCTAATCTCTTCTTGTTTAACTGTTAGTAAGATGAATTACTCACAACCCAAAACGATTTCCTCATTATTTTCAGTGAGTTAACGTCCTTCCTCTCTCTGTGCTTGTTGTTGCACAGGAGCAGTTTCTGTATTTTTCACTTTCTCATTTTGCCCGTCAGAAAAACCTCTGCAGTAAACATTTGTTTTATTTAATAAAACAGTGCAGCAACCCCCCAAAATTCCCTCATTGAACATTTAACAAGGGCTAGCTTCTGTTTAGAAGGAGAAAACTTTGTTCTTCTCTGGGGAAAGGTCAGTAGTGTTAGATAACATGACTCTGATGACAAATCACCAGCTCTGTGGTATCTTCTCCAGTCAGCCTACAGTTGAGCGTTTTTTTTTTTTATAAACAAAGTATTTTTCCTACCAGATGATTTATTGACTGGATCATTGTGTCACTTTTTGGTTTATAAAGGGTCCACAGCCCGGCAGTGAAGTTAAACTAAAAGAAAAAAGGTCAGAATAACTCAGAGAGGCTGAAGAGATTATTTTTTATGTTGGTCTTGCATGGAGACTCGATGGAAACGGTGAAAAACTGAGCCGATGTTCAGCAGACAAAAAAAAAAATCATAATAAAAACAGCTCATCGAGTCAGTTTTGTTTACTGTAAAGTTTGGTATTATTTTATGAGTGATCCATTTTCCATCATCTTCAGAGTGGGGTGGTACATATTTTATGTTATCAGTGGATCAAATGGCTGTGTGCAAAACTAAAAGAGGCTTTTGGTGATGAATCAGAGCAGAAAAACCACTCAGCTGCAGATTGTCGCTCTGATTTAGTCCATTTTTTTTTTCTCGTCGGATTCAGTCTCCGAACTCAGAAGTGTTTTTCTTTTCCTGCTACAGCAGGCTGTGTTGAAGAGGAGAAGCAAACCAAATATTCAACTGAAGAACTGACAGAACAGAAACAGTTTAAAAAGGAATAAATAGACTGTAAAACACCGGGGTATAAATCTGATGCATCGTCTTGTTGAGTTTAAACTAATGTTTAAAACAACTCACAGACATCAGATACGTGTTTAGCACGTTTCCTTTGTGATTTCAGAGCATGCTTGTGTGTTTTCTTGTGGGAAAACATGCAATTAATGAGGTTTTTCTCTCAGGGAAGAGAAGCCGAAGCAGAGCTTAAAGAAGCTGTAAAGTCTAAATGCAAAGAAAAGAAATGTTTCTCTAAAATGTTTTTTTTTTTTTATCGTTACCTTCCTGTTTCTTCATGTGTCCAAATGTGAACGTTTGTTTGAAGGATTGAAGATTGATAAAACACTTAAATCATCGTAATCGCAGTATTTAGGAGACAATTCGGTGTTTGGATATTTGCAAACAGAACCCGCAGAAACATTTCCCTCAAAAGCTGTAAAATTAGCTTGATACTGAAAGAAGTATGGCACAATTAGGAGTTTAATTAAGCTTAAAATTGTTAAAAAAATATGGACATGACATTTCCTGATACTCAAGTTAATATTTTTGAGGCGAAAAACTTTTCAAATGAACAAAACATGTCTAAAGCAACATAAGCATTTCTATTAAATATGGCTTTATATTACATTTTGTTTTGTTTTGTTTCACAGAAATTCAAGAATTAAAAAAAATAAATAAATAAAAGTCCTTTTTTTTTCCAGAAATATTTGTACAATATTTTTTATTATTTATTTCCCACCTCTAAAAGACGAAAGGTTTTTAGTTTTAGAGTGCGTGTGAATCGGTGGTTAATGAGATCCTTTCACGGGACATAATTTAATTAAACTTTCAGTAGCAATCGTTGGGTTTAATTACACCTGATTAACTTTTGAAGCTTTCCCATTTCAAGATGGCTGTCACAGCTAACTAACTTTAGCTATTACACACACACAAAAAGCCGTAACTCCTTTGGGGTAGCAGCTGAGACTCATCCTGAACACATCCTCTGAGCATGACATCTCACATAACATTATTTTTTGAAGATTTGACCAAAGCTGCTCTGTCTTTTTCCCTCAGCTAAGATAATCTTCGTTTAAAACTCTGATATAAAAGGTGGCAGGTGATATGCATCTTTTTAAACATTTCTAGACTTTTAATTTTACTTATGTTTTTGTTTTCAATACTGGCACCTACATATGTGTATGAGCTCAACATCCAAACAGGATCACGTTAAAAGGATTTCACTATTTGGTCCAATGTTTTAGTTAAATATTATCATTAGGTATCTTAAAAAATTATGTTTCATTCAACAGTGTTTTCATATTTTATAATCTAATCTGAATTTTCTCTCCATTGGTTAAGAATCGTGTACAAATGAGCCGTGGCAGAAAAAATAAATAAATAAAAAGCCCAACAGTTCTCAGTCTCATAAAACTAATAATAAAAACATGAGTGTGATTTAAATCTTTATATCTACATGTTTTTATGACATTTTGTAAAACAGTCAATTTAACTTCAGCAGATATTTGAATCTCAGTGTTTAATGCATCCCTTAATTTGTCTTGAAAAATTAGTATATAGCAGTAAATCTTAATTCAGTTATGTTTGTTGTCGAAGTTTTTATAAAAGTCCACTGCATAAAATCAATAAAACGTTTGATTTGCCTATCTTTAACTTGCTCTTTATAGACAACGCATAAATCACTTGTCTTCTTTTAGAAGAGGAAAAAACAAATGTTCCCATTGTGACAGATTAGATTCTAGTCATGCTGATACATTAGTGGATTATAAGAGTGGAAACACAGCAAAGAAAACATTTTATCTCTGGCCGACAAAGAACCAACACTGCATCGCAACAAATTCAAACCATAAATCTGTCGCCGCTGTGTGAGCGAGACGTGACAACAGATGGATTTGGCAACTACTGTGATTAATTAACAGTTCAGGGAACAAATGGAAACAAAACTTCTGAATCTAAATCTTTCTCCCTTAGAGATGGTGGATCCTCTCTGGGAACAGAGAAGTATAAAATCTTAATAAACTTTATAAACCGTAATTATTCACAGTAATGCCACTTGATGATATATGCTGCTGATTTATTTCATGTTTCCGTGTTCATTCGTACTCACCTGCTCACTCAGACTCATGTTCGTGCTGCTGTTGTTCGGCGTATTGTTTTTCATACTATTAGTGCTTAGTATATTCTAAATTTTGCGTTTTCTTAGTTCATATCTTAGATCTTATTACTGTTTTTCCTTTACATTTTATACTTTTGTTGGATGTAACTAGGACCCTATGTACACAGTTTCCTTCCACCACATGTGCCACATAAGATGAGAATGACAATAAAGAAACCTTGACCTTGATAAGCTCGGTGGCGTTGAATATTTTCTGTGTATCTCCTCAGCCTGACAGATCCTACGATCTGAAGATCGGACAGCCCACCGTGTCTTACTTCCTCAAACAGGCGGCGGGGATCGCTAAAGGAGCCAGCAACACAGGTGAGATCTTCACCTGCTCAGACTTCACTGTAACAGACACGCGTCTGCCCACAACGTCAATTTCCGCCTCTCTCTCTGGTGTTGTTCTATTCATGACAAAAGAGCTGGATGCAGCTCTAACTCAAACACTTTTCCTCGTTCATACGTTGATTTTATTTTTCTGTTTTATTTTTGAAGGCCATGAGATAGCAGGGAAGGTGTCAGTGAGGGCCGTGTATGAAATTGCGCAGGTGAAGGCTCAGGACGAGAGTTTCAAGATGAGGAACGTCTCCCTCGAGTGCATCGTGAAAAGCATCATCGGCTCAGCACGCTCGCTGGGCATACAGATCGTCCATGAGTAAGTTCCTGTCCTTTCATCTGATGAATGAGAAATGAGAAGATCCTGGTTTAATGTTTCATGTTGCAATGCCTCCAAATGTCCACCAGAGGTCAGCAGAGGGCCCACACTCGCTTCAACAACATTTAGACTTTCAGAGAGTAAATGTTTGGATTCACTTTAATTTAACACATCAAATCACAAATCCTCATCCAGCAGTAAAGAGATGAATGTGCACAATTTTTTTTTATATTTTATTTATTTATGATTTTAGGTTTGAGCTGTTCAGGCTATATTCAAACTGCATTACACAGGTAAAACAAAAGACAGTAATAAGTAATAAATATTTAAAAGCTTGATAATGAGTCCAAATTGTCCATTATTTTGTTTGTAAAACAGCATTCAGGCTGGAAGTGTTTTTTCTGATCGCCTACCACCGAGAGACAAACGGCGGCCAATTACTTTTTTTGCCTTTGTCTGTTAGCAAAATATCTCACAAATTGCTGGATGGATTCCAATAATTGATCGTTCAATCAAGTAATTGTATAGTTGATTAAATTTTGGAGTCTACATGGTCCAAAATGGCTGCCACCGCTTATCAACCTTAGCAAAAATAGCTACAACTCAGCCAATTTTACAGACATTAAGCTAAAATCTGGAGTGGCAGTCAGAAGCTCCAACTAAAAACTCCAAGCTTTCACAAACTGCAAGATAACTGGACTGTTAACTATTGGACTCAACTCTGTCTGTTAGCAGAATATCTTTTGAACCGGTGGACACATTTTTATGAAACTTTCAGAAAATAATTAGAGGATGTACATCTACAACTGTTTAACATTTGGAGTCAGTTCGATTCAAAATGGCTGACAGACCTTAGCCAACGCAGAAACAATTGTATCTCAGTCAGTTTTACAGATATTGAGCAAAAAATCAAGGCAGTAGTCGAGTCATTCGCCAACATATCACAGGAGGAATCGCTACAGACGGTGGTATCGTGCATAGTCTTTTTCAAAATCTGACCAGAAGGACTATAACTCCATATTTTCTGAACTAAAGGTGATCTTGGTGCATCTTTCAAGGAATACTAGGGATATACCGGTAACTGTTTCTTAGGTTTGCTGCTGTTGTAATGAATGCAGTTTTCCTCTGATAATAATCAGTGTGTTTGTTTTTTTAATTAGAAACTAGAGCCCCGCCGATATTAAAATTTTGACTATCGATGATACAGATATTGGGAGGGGGTGGCGAATGCTGATAACTGATATAATAGCTGAAAGTTTTGTGCTTTGTCCATCCCCAACAATCTAAGTAAACAGCGAGTGGAGCGGGGCTTGTTTATTTAGCGCATCTGTTAGCAACCATGAAGCTAAGCGAATTAGCTCCACACTGTTCCTAGTCCCACAGATGGTTTACAAGTGGTGCACTGGTCATAAAAACAGTTTTCCTATTGTGCGTTCTCATTTTCTATCCTCCCACTGTTCCCCATAATGTTATCAAGTGTGTTACATAAATATAAATTAAACAAAGAAACCCTCTTCCCTGTTCATTGTATAAACAGTCAGTGTGGTGAAGGTCTAATTAGTGTTGACTGCAGCCGCATCTTTTTTTTTTCATGCAGAGAAGTTAAAATCTCAGACAATGCATTTCATTGAGGACGACAGCTAACGTTACTAACAACTGATATACAGGTGCTGGTCATAACATGAGAATATCATGAAAAGTTGATTTATTTCAGTAATTCCATTCATAAAGTGAAAGACTGATATATTTAAAATGTTTATTATGTTGATGATTATAACTGACAACTAATGAAAACCCCAAATTCAGTATCTCAGAAAATTAGAATATTGTGAAAAGGTTCAATATTGAAGACACCTGGTGCCACACTCTAATCAGCTAATTAACTCAAAACACTTGCAAAGTCCTTTAAATGGTCTCTCAGTCTAGTTCTGTGGGCTACACAATCATGGAGAAGACTGTTGACTTCACAGTTGTCCAAAAGACAACCATTGACACCTTGCACAAGGAGGGCAAGACACAAAAGGTAATTGCTAAGGCTGTTCACAGACCTCTGTGTCCAAGCACATTAATAGAGAGGTGAAGGGAAGGAAAAGATGTCGTAGTAAAAAGTGGACGCCTCCCTGGTGAGGTGTTCCAGACACGTCCCACCGGGAGGAGACCCAGAGGAAGATCCAGGACACGCTGGAGGGACTATGTTTCTCGGCTGGCCTGGGAACGCCTCGGGGTTTCCCCAGAGGAGCTGGCCCAAGTGGCTGGGGAGAGGGAAGTCTGGGCCTCCCTACTTAGACTGCTACCCCTGCGACCCGACCCCAGATAAGCGGAAGAAAATGGATGGATGGATTAAAAACTTTTAATTTATAAGTTTTCTTTTTAGGTGCAACAAAACAAACCTGCTTCCTCTGCAGCTGAACATTTGCCTTTGCTTCCCTCGTGTATCCAGATATTTATCAGTATGACAAACACACACTTCGCTTTATTTTCCCATCAAGTATTCGTTGTTGGTTTTCAGGTACATTATTCTGTTTCCCCTCACCTAATGAAGTACAGTTTTACCCCCTTCAGCGTTAACACCTCTTGCTGCTGCGCTACATTAAGATTTATTGTGAGTATCCTCACAGCAGAGATCGGTATCTTCGCCTGTTTAGGGGTGGATTCCTCCCCAGAGGATTGTTCAGCGCTGCTGTAATGTGTTGAGTGTAGAGAGAGGCCATCGCTCTTTGATTCTCGGGTGCTGATCCCCAGAATGATTTGGAGTTAATGGTGTAGACGAAGCATTTTCTGGGAGCGTGATGATGTTGTGTTTGTCATCTCCGAAGTTCTGTGTTTTCCAAGTAAATTGTGTTTTTGGAAGGTTGCATTTTCTTGTAATAACTGAGTATTCTTTCTCCTCTTCCTCCTCCAGTTTACCAGCTGATGAGTATAAAGTCTTCCTCGAGCAGCGGGAGGAGAAGCTGAAGGCAGAAGCCGAAGCAGCGGCTGAGGCCGCTGCACTCGAAGCTTCGTTGAGCAAGAAAAAATGAAAACCTGCGACACCGACTCCTGCATTCCTGTTCATTTGAACTTTAAACATGAAACACGTTCATGCAATAAAACCATTAATGCTTTGTTTATTAATAAACAGTCACCTGTTATGTGACGTCTTTCTTTTCCCTCATTTACATCAGCCAGAAACATCCTCTCGGGTTTCATTTATGACCCTGAGTGATTTATCTCCTTTGAGCCGAGATGCTGAGAATGTCATTTTTTGCTTTTGGAAATGTTTTTTAAGCTCTATGTCTTTGATGGGTTTATTTATTATTAACACCTCTGGAAGCGGTTTGGCTCGTAGACAGATTGTGCAGACGGCTTCTTCCATATTTCACACATTTTCTATCAGGCTGAGTTCTGAAAGCTTCAGCACATTAATAAAAATATGAATCTCAGGTTTTGGCTCATTTCATTCAGCCTTTATTTATACAGGTTAGTTCCCATTGAGCCTCGAGGGCTCATTTACAAGAGAGACCTGTTTCAAACAGACAAAAGTTGATAAGGAAAAGAAAAACACAAGGTGAGGGGAAGTTTAAAAAATGTTTGTTTTTTGCACTGTCCTCGGGGCACAGTGTGAAAGGTGCACAAAAAACTTTGCACATAAACAGCCACATACTAATGACATCATGATACATTTATGCATGAGGAGACTGACAAAGGCGGTAAGTTGTCCGTTTACACTGTCAGAAAGTTCCATAGTCCTTATAAGAGATGGTACAGTGTCTATCAGCCGGCTCAGCTCTGATACAGGTCCTGGGGAAGGGAGAGGGAGGGGCAGGGGGGCAGCAGAGCTTCTTGTTCACATAACCTCCAGGAGAAATTTGAGATAGATGGCCTATTCAAGGCCAAGCGGGGAAGCCAGATTCAGATAACAAAATTTGTTTTGGGACAGGCCAACTGCTTGATTTCTTGTATACCTTCATAGTTCTGCTGGTACACCTCATTGGCGATGCCAAACAGCCAAATTTTGTGGTCAGACCGTGCTTGTAACCTTCTCCAAGCTTGATTCCTTCACGCCAGCGAGTTCCAGGAGCCGCAAGTGGCCTGTGATTCTCAGAAACTGCTTCCAGCTTACAGTTTAGCTCACAAAGTGTCTGAGTCTGAGTGCTCGAAGCACGACACATTCCTTCACACATGGCAGGCAGCCTCACAATTGCCAGAACTGCTGCCGACTTCTTCTGAATTTGTCAATATATCAGATACCTGCCAACTTTAAAAAGCAGAAATCCTGTTACTTCTACATCCTCAATGGACAATACAGATAGGCACACCATCTTCCACTACTCCCAGGAGTCCAGAGTATATCCAGCTGCAAGTGTCCCTTTAGGGCATGAGGGCTCTCCTTTGACCTGTCGTCTTTTCGAGAAAATTTTATCACGTGCGTTGAGAGACCAATATTAATATTATTATTAGAGGAATCCTATCTTTCAAGTAATAACTTCTGCTACATTAAATTAAAATCAATCTCAATATGTTCTGTGCAGGCAGCACGGTGGCACAACTGGTAGAGCTGCTACCTCTCAGCGAGCAGGTCCCTGGTTCAAATCCCTGTCCGGGAGCCTTTCTGGGTGGAGTTTGCATGTTCTCTTCGTGCATGCGTGGGTTTTCTCCAGGTACTCCAGTTTCCTCCCACAGACCAAAAACGTGCATGTTAGGCTGATTGGTAACTCTATATTGTCTCTAGGTGTGAGTGAGAGAGTGAATGGTTGTTTGTCTCGTTTGTCTCTATGTGTCCCTGTGATGGACTTGCGACCTATCCAGGCTGTACCCCGCCCCCCACACAGTGATTGCTGGACATGGGCACCGGCAACCCCCATGACCCAAAATGGAAGAAGCAGGTAAAAGATGATGGATGTTCTGTGCAAATTGTGATTGGTAAACAAAATATTTAAGTATGAAGATTTAGATTTTTTTCATGTATATTCTTAAAAAGTGTCCTTTTTACTGATTTGAGCTCTGTTAGAAAAAAGCATTGTGTAAGAAGAAACATTGTTGTACAATTTTTATTTTACATTCAAAAGTTTTTTTTATAGTTTAAACTCAAGATAAAATACAAAACATATCCTTAAAATGATAAAACTTCTTAAGCTTTAAAACATTTCTGGAGCTTAAGCCTCGTTTCACAAGTCAAACATGGATTGCTGTTCTAAGATACAATGTTTAATCCAAACATGACACTCATTTAAAGCACAAATATACCACATTTGAACCAGAATTTTCTATTTTGGTCTCAACAGTCTACCAAAAAAAAACTTAATTCAAACAACATCCTGACTCATCTGATAGATTTTTTGGAAACTGTAGAAGATGTGAGTCACTGTCACATATATAAAACAGTACATTAAAACCACTGGACATTCTCATGCAAATAGATTTGATTGTTTTCAACTCTGTCACGATTCAACAAATTTCTGTAAATAACCACAACAAGAGCTAAACTGCCCTGCAGTCCACGACTTTTGCTTTCATGACAAATATAATAAAGAAGAACCCAAACTGCTGATCAGCTGAAACTCTTCATTTGGACTAAAGAAAGAAAACACTTTAAAAAATTTCAGCTTTTTAAATTTAAAGCAGCTCACCACTAAAACATAATTTGATCTACGGTAATTTCTTTATTAGAATCTGTAAAAAACATACCGAAGAGAGAAAAGCTTAGAGTTTTTGCACCAACAAGGTGGTTTCTAAAGAGCTAATAGCTGAAAACTTGTCAAACGGTTGATCAGTTGAAGAATGATGCTTGTCAGGTTTTTGAAGGATGTTTGTTCCCGTTCAGTAATCATGATACCGTTCGTCTTCTTTAAATAGCTTCCTCTGCTTTTGTCCTTCACACTGCTTAATACATTGTACAGGTGCTGGTCACAAAATTAGAATTTCATGAAAAAGTTTATTTATTTCAGTAATTCCATTCAAAAAGTAAACTTGTATATTATATTCATTCATTACACACATACTGATAAATTTCAAATGTTTATTTCTTTTTATGTTAATGATTATAATTGACAACTAATGAAAACCCCAAATTCCGTATCTCAGAAAATTAGAATATTGTGAAAAGGTTTAATATAGAAGACACCTGGTGCCACACCCTAATCAGTTAATTAACTCAAAACACCTTCAAAGGCCTTTAAATGGTTTCTCAGTCTAGTTCTGTAGGCGAATTGACTGGGGCGAGCGGATGGATGACGGAGAGAGAAAAGATGAGTCAGCAATTTGGTAAGGCGGTTGGCAGCGGCTGGGCTGTGAATGGGCAGGAGGTTGCAGAGGGAAGTTCTGGATCAGGAAGTGAGTTTGATGAAATGGAAGAAAATAGTGGCGGAAATGAAGAAGATTGGAGTAAGTTAGCTGCTTCAAAAAGCAGAAAAAAGCGTAAAAAGCAGACATCAGCTGAAGATATTTCTAACCCAGAAATTGATGAGGAAAATGAACTAGTAACTAAGAAACCAAAAGATGAGTATAAAGTTATTATTAAATTAAATCAAGAGGGAGAATCTTTTGGTGAATGGAACCCAATACAATTAACCAAAACAATAAATAAACTAATAGGTGAAGTCCTTAGCGCTAAGGTTTTACGAAGCGGAGCACTTTTTGTTCATTGCAGAGACAGCATTCAACAAGGAAAGGCAATTAAGATTCACAAAATGGAAGGAAAGAAAGTTCAGAGCAGTCTGGTTGAAAACAAAAAAATGGGTAGAGGAGTCATTAGTGGAGTCCCTTTAAAAATCTCAAATGAAGAAATTCAAGCAAACATACGTGGAGCAAAAGTGAAAGAAATTAAACGTCTGCAAACAACAAGAAATGGAGAACGATGTAACAGCTTGTCAGTCTTGATTAAATTTGAAGGTGAATGTTTACCAAGTAAAGTCTACATAGGCTATATGAGCTATGATGTGAAACAATACATTCCTCCTCCGTTAAGGTGTTTTAAATGCCAGAAATTTGGACATGTAGCAGCAATCTGTAAAGGAAAACAACGATGTGGAAGATGTGCAGGTGAACATGAATATGGGAAATGTGAAAAAGAGGCAAAAATTAAATGTTGTAACTGTGGAGAAGAACACACTTCTGCTTACCGTGGATGTCAATACAGTAAAAGAGCAGAGGAAATCCAAAAAGTGAAACTAGCTCAAGGGATAACTTATGCTGAAGCTGTGAAAAGAATCCCAAATCAACCAGAGAAGCCAAAACCAACAGTGACACCAAATATAAAACCAAAAACTTGTGATGGATGCTCTAAAATACCTAATGATTCAATGATAGTGAACAAAAAGGATTTTGTGCTGTTTATGGTGGAAGTGATTAATTGTTCAGCTCAGACAGTAAAGAAAACTGAAAAGATTAAAATCATAGTGAGGGCTGCAGAAAAATATCTAGATGTTAAAGACCTTGGTTGGGAAGCTGTAGAAAATATGATAGGTAAAGGAGTAACACCAACTCAGTCAGAAGGTGCTACTTCCACATGGTCATAAACATATTTCAATGGAACGCTAGAAGTCTCATCTCAAATGGTCAAGATTTTAAACATTACATATCACAACTACAAGAAAAACCACATATCATCTGTATTCAGGAAACCTGGTTAAAACCAGAATTAGATTTTGTTTTACATGGGTACACTGCCATCAGAAGAGATAGAGGTAATGGAAGGGGTGGAGGAATAATGATCCTTGTACAAAATAATATAGGTTACAGTATAATCCATATAGGAAAAGAGCATGAATACATTACTATTAAAATATGGACAGGTAGGGATGAAATGATCATTATTAATTATTATAATCCATGTAAAGAATTAACTATTGAAACACTGAATATAGTTAGAGGACAGGAACAGGGGAAAATTGTTTGGTGTGGAGATTTTAATGCTCACAATAATCTTTGGGGAAGTGATCACACAGACATAAATGGCAGAAACGTAGAGGAATTCATTGATGATAACAGACTGGTGTGCATAAATAATGGAACAGGGACCAGATATAATATTACAAAGAACACAGAAACAGCAATAGATTTAACAGTCACCTCAAATAACATTGCAGGAATTACGCAGTGGGAAGTAATAAATAAAACATCACTTGGTAGTGATCATTATCCAATAACCATTAAAATAGGACTGGATGTTCTTAAAGGAAAAAC